GGGTAGTCCCGCGCAGTTGCGCGTGGCCCGGCGCTCACAGGTGCGTGTCCTCCTCGAACATGTCCGAGTCCTCAGGGTCGCGCTTGCTGCCCATGAGCGCGCTCCAGCTGCTCGGGCCGTTGATAGCCCCACCGCCGTTCAGGCTGGGCTGCTTCTCCTGCGTCTCCGACTGGCTGTCGCTGGCCACGTCCAGCGTGGGGTTGTCGTGGCAGCCGTTCTCCACAAAGCGCAGCTCCTCGCCGTGCGACTGCGGCAGCGGAAGAGAGAGCTGGGCACTCGTGGTAGCTGACCACTACACGCCCCCGGGGTGCTCTCTGGGGCCCAGTAGACAGTTTCTGCAGCTCTAGCCTTACTTCTCTGCACCATAAACCCTGTGACTTCCCTGATGTCACTTGATCCCTCCCAACAAACCCCATTATAGATACGAGACTCCTGGAAACTTAGCAGAGGAGCTGAGCGGGATGACCAGGGCCTGACGCCCTCCTCTACTGTAGGTTGCAGGAACCCTTTGCCCTCAAGCCCTGAAGCGAGGGGCGCTGGGGATGGAAGCTAGAGAAGAGGAGGGACCCTCTGGTGAGACTGGCACCCCGCACCCCACTGTGTACCTTCTCGCAGAGGAAACCACAGTACCAGCCTCAGAGAGGTGGAAGCAGGCCCGGCCTGGCAGTGAGCACAACTGAGTTGGTGCAGGCCACCAGGTGAGGCTGCTGAGTGGCATTGGCAGCACTCCACCCTTCCGAAGCCCTACCTGGCATACTCACCACGTGTTTCAGCTTGGGCAGCCGACGCTGCCAGCAGTTGTAGAGTAGGCCAAGCACAATGATGATGAAGCAGATGACACCAATGATCACCAGCACCACAAAGAGCGTCCCGTAGTCACTGCGCACCTGAGTGGCCCGAGCCTGGCAGCTGCTGGTGGTGGAGTAGTTCTGGATGCCAATCTGAGGGGCGGGGGTGGGGGGATAGGGCCTCAGCAAAAGTCCTGAGAGGTACTAACATTACAAGGGTGAAGTTGGAGCCCCTGACAGGTCTGGGACCTGGACTTGTGCTGAAGGGCATATTATTCTGTCCCTATTGGTTCATCTAAGAATAGCCCCCGGGGCTGGAGAGATGGATCAGAGGCTAAGAGCACACTGAGTTCAATTCCTAGTAACCACATGGTGGCTCACAACTGTCTATAATGAGATCTGGTGCCCTCTTCTGGCGTGCAGGCATACATGCAGGCAGAACACATCTACATAATAAATCTTTAAAAGCTCCCAAGCTCTTCCAATGGCCGCAAATCTAAGCTCCCTCACATCCTCACTGACTTCTGCCCTGCCCAGCACTGAGGCTGTTCTCCATGATGACTGTTGTGGCCCGAAATGATGGGGCCCCCACCTGTCCCCATCAATTACACAAAACAAAAAGGCATCTGGGAGACGTTCAAATCCACCCCTCAAAGTTGGTGTCCCAAAGCATAGCTTCCACCTTCGGGGTAGGTGGTGTCATTCAGGCAGCTTGGCATCACTGGGGGCTATGTGGGGATGACAGCTGCAGCCCACAATGGGGGTACTCAGCTTCTTCCCTTCCCCAGTGTTAAGATCACAGGTGACATGTGGGGCCTCTGCTCGGGCTGGGCTTGGCTTCTCTCCTGTAAGGCAAAGCTGCTCTGCAGCTTCAGGTAAAACGAAACCAAGGAAGGCGAGGGCTGTTATCAGAGAGCTCTAGGGCAGAGGCTGGGCTTCAGCTCTTCCCTGAATTATGTGAAAGCCTTGCCAGTTTCCACTGTCCATCTGTGTTCACGAGCCCAGATTTTCAAGGCTGACAAGAGTCATCCAGGCAGTGTAGCAGCAGGCTTGGTCCTTGCTACCTGGTGATCTCAGGCAAGGTACCTGACCTCTCTGGGCTTCAGCTCTCTCTTTAATCCTTAAAACCCCACGGAATGGAAAAAGGGACCAAGGGAGAATGCGGTGTAGTCTAGACCTTGTAAACATTGTATATAGCCAGAAACACATAGCACCTTTGCATTGTGACATCTGGGTGTTGTCAAACACTGCAGAAACCCTCCAAAGGGAAGATTGAACAGGTCCATGGGTCAGGAAGAGAAAGCAGGGGCAGAACCTCTAGCTTATGTGTTCTGTAGCTTAGCAGGGGCCAGAAGACCACAACTAATCAGGGCCACCTCTAACAATGGAGGGGTGTTTCCCAGTTCCAGACATCCCCCACCACCTCAGGTTCCCCTCAGGGTCTATCTTGTTCCCCCTCCATTAGGTTCTACACGATACTTCAGACAGGTCCTACTTAATCCCTTTTCCCATGGCTACTCTCACTATGGCCTGAGGGTGTGCAGTCCTTTTGCTCAATTGGTTTCCTGCACGTGCTCTTTATATGGGGTGGGTGGCCCGGGCCCTGAGGCACACCCCTCCCCTGGAGCAGGCTGTGAATTGTTTCAGCATTTTTGAGATCAGGGATGGCCAAGGAAGCTGCAGTGGCCCCAAGTCAAGTCCTGGTACGCTTACCTCCTCCAGACTCCTTCGGATGCCACTGAGCATGGAAAGGACATCTTGAGTGGGTACCACCCCTGGAAGAAATGCCATCATCACCAAAGCACCCCTGAGGTGTCTCCACACCACCCAACCCCTTCCTAGGGCATTCTGTCTGAGCCTCCTCTGCCACACTTCTGGTTCTAATCATAGAGAGCCTCAGGGCCTATGTATGTTCCCTGTCAACCTTTTCCCACCAAGTCCATTCACTGGAACACCAAATGACAGGTGTGATGCTAGAAGACACCTGTGCAGCCCCAGAGTCCCCCCTTTCATAGTGTGTGATGTTCATAGCTGTCTCTGCGTCATCAGAACCCAGGCATCACTCCACCCAGAGTCCTACAGTGGCATGCCGCTATCTGGGGTTCCTGGCTCTACAACCCTATCTGTTCTTTCCTGAGCCCCCAGTATGAACCTGTGGGGGGACAGCTCACCCTGCTCTCCCACAAGTGTCATCAGCAGGTGCTGCTCTTTCTCACTGGGCTTGCTCAAAGAGATGTGCCAGTCCCCACGGTGGCCACTGCGGTGACGTGGCAGTACCTCCTCCACCAGGGCTAGGAGCTGTAGTCCCCGATGCCGCCGAAACACTTCCTAGGGATTCAGAGGAACCAAGCTCAAGGACTGGTGGTATCCTGACCCCATCTGCTCTCAACCCATCTCCCAAAGACCTAGATGGTCCTCTTGCTAGCCTGCTCGGCTCTGAGACCACCTGAGAGCAGGGTATAGACAGATACAGCTTGTTGGTTCACTTCCATCTGCAGGTACCACGGTAAAGGTGTGAGCCTGCCCCAGAGCCACTCAGGTGGAGGGGACATAGATGGGTCCACTGACAATGACAAACCCTTAACTGGGGTTTGCAGTGTCCAGACCTCTGGAAGCAGGCCAATGATGCCTATATCAAGTGTACGGTTCTGGGGAAGACACAACGCTAAGTCACAACAGCCACCAAGAAACAGGGAGACTGAGAACAGTGGGTGGGGCTCCTCTGCTGGTCGTCTCAGCATGTGGCCAGCACTGAGCCTTGAGAGAGTGACAGGAGTGCTTTTACAACAGGGACTTGAAAAACAAATAGAAGTGGCTAAGAGTACCCTGGGAGCAGGCCAAGGGGGTTGGGGTGAGGCGAGGCGAGGTGGTTTCTTTCCCTCAGACTCTACCACACTGTTTAGATGATCGTGTCAAATATAATTACAGAATGTAACATGAAAATGAACCAAGCCCTCCACAAGAACTTAGTAGAGCAGAACTAGAGGCCAGGCTGCTGCCTCGAGGCTCATGCCTGCTGTTTGTAAAAGAGATCTCCTTTGGTCCTCACATCCTCTTCAGCAGCTTCTCCCTCTTGTACGTGAAAAACCTCGACTCCATTTCTTCCAAGAGTCCCAGCTAGACTCCTCTCCCAGATGCTCAGCTGTGGTGCTGTGGGAGCTGGGCTATCGGAAAATGTGCCTTCTTTGTGACACCTGAGGCAGAGATGAATCTATCCCATGGTTGTCATGCCAACCTGAGTTTTATACTAGGCTTTTCCTTGTTACCATGGTGAATGCCCAGTGCACCTCAAGTCTAGACACTCTCTAGCTTCCTGGTCAGCAGTTCTGTCCCACAACAGTCGGGCAAGCCCAGGGTCGAGTGGTCACTGATGTGGGAGGGCAGGACAGGCTTCTGCCTGCTGTTCTGGGACTCGGCAGCCCTCAGTTGCTCTGCCACACATGTGCCAGCCACCCTTTACAATGTAGAAAAGTCTGCCAGACTCAGTTAGCTCAGGAAGAGAAAGCCCTGGCTTTGGAACTACATGCACCAGGGCTCAAATGCTGCAGTTTCTCAGCTCTGACCTTCAGCAGCATTCTG